AGTGTTAGTGGGTGTCAGGGTCTCTCCGTGGTGGTGGTGGTGGTGGGGGGGGCACTTTTTGTGTTGTCTAGGGCAGCACGGAACCTAAATACAGCACTGCCACCACCACCACGGAGAGACCCTGACACCCACTAACACCCCCTCCCCCAGGAAGAGAGCCTGAAGTTGACCAACAATGCCCCCCCCCCCCGAGAGAGCCTTCCACTACCACTTACCCCCATACACTGGCATCCCTCACCCACCCCGGTGAGAGATAGACACTCACCTTCACAGCTACGGACATCCCCGGGAAAAAGAGTCAGGCTCTGCATACACCATCAAGAAGCCAGCAACCTCTCTCAGATCCCACCTGGTCACCATGCTGTATGTGTCCCTTCTTCCATCCCTTCTTTCGGGAGGCAGCGCTGCCCCCTGAAAAATGCTGCTGCCCCCCTGAAAAAATGCCACCCTAGGCAAATGCCTTGTTTGTTTGCCTTGTGGTAAATACAGCCCTGGGTGGTGGTGGGGGGGGGCAATTTTTGTGTTGCCTAGGACAGCACAAAATCTAAATACACCACTGGGTATATATACATACTATCTACATAGAAATATATGCATATTTAACACAGTAAAGCATAAAGTGTAACAACGTTGTAAAAAAATATGTTTAAAGCTGAGTTCCAGGCAGATATAAATGGCACAGGTTATTGCAGTTCTATAATCACCAATTTGTCATTAAATGTATTTTGTTTGAAATGTAAGCAGTGCAAGTACCTAAACTTGACTTGAAATCAGCGTCTTTGAGTTTACTATACAGTTTGTTAAGCAGCTCAGAGAGGAGGAGAGAGAAGTAGCCAATCAGATATGCTGCAAGGCAATAAGCCAGGCTGATAGGAGGAGGGAGCAGAGTGACAGAGAGATTAGCTCATCAGTGTGCTGCTTCTCTTTTCACTGTCTTGTCTCGGGGTGGGGACCTGTAAATAAAAAAGTGAAACTGAAGCAGAGAAATGTCAGGTTCCCACTCCTGGCAGACACGGCTGTGCTGTAAGACAGGGCTTGAAAAAGCCGCTCGCCCGCTCACCAAATGCGAGGAGAAATTCCTCTGTGGCGAGCGATGAGCGGCTGTGAGCGGTGAGCACAGGTGAAGCATGGAGCGACTGCACCTGCGCTCCAAGCCTCATTGTGAAGCTGAGTTCCGGTTTACAACTTCCGATTTACGGCTTCTGCAGCAGCGCCGCCGAGGGGACAGGTGCAGGTCCGCTCTCCTCCGCTGAGAGGAGACACCCTCTCCACTGCCGCGGGGGACTCGGGGGGGGGGGGGGGGGCAGTAAGTACTGTATACAACATGTAATATCACTATAATGGAGTACAGGGGAGCTGGGATATACATTACTGTATACATGTCATATCACTATAATGGAGTACAGGGGAGCTGGGATATACATACTGTATACATGTCATATCACTATAATGGAGTACAGGGGAGCTGGGATATACATTACTGTATACATGTCATATCACTATAATGGAGTACAGGGGAGCTGGGATATACATTACTGTATACATGTCATATCACTATAATGGAGTACAGGGGAGCTGGGATATACATATACATGTCATATCACTATAATGGAGTACAGGGGAGCTGGGATATACATACTGTATACATGTCATATCACTATAATGGAGTACAGGGGAGCTGGGATATACATACTGTATACATGTCATATCACTATAATGGAGTACAGGGGAGCTGGGATATACATACTGTATACATGTCATATCACTATAATGGAGTACAGGGGAGCTGGGATATACATTACTGTATACATGTCATATCACTATAATGGAGTACAGGGGTGTTGGGATATACATTACTGTATACATGTCATATCACTATAATGGAGTACAGGGGAGCTGGGATATACATTACTGTATACATGTCATATCACTATAATGGAGTACAGGGGTGTTGGGATATACATTACTGTATACATGTCATATCACTATAATGGAGTACAGGGGAGCTGTACATTACTGTGTACAGTTTTATATTTTGGACTATTTATTCTAAAGAAAAATGTAATTTCATAAGCTTTAAAGGGGTGTGGATGGGGCGGGCCGGTGGTGGGGTTGGGGGCAGACCTGGGCAAGGCTGGGTGGGGCAACTGGTGGAAAGTAGGTTTTGTGACCGGCTAGTAGGTCTTGACTCAAAATTTTAACCCCTGCTGTAAGATATAGTAAATCTGGGCTGTGCTGTGAAAATCTCAGGACTAGATGTACAGAAACATATAAATCATTTGACAGCTAAAACTCTCATACAAGTATTTCACCATGACATGACTACAATGTGGTCGTCTAGTTCTGGGAGGGCGTCTATAGATGTTCTCCCAGAACCGCGCCCCCCTTCACGACCCTGGGGCACACATCAGGCACACTCTGTGATCGCTGTGTCCTTTGGAAACAGCTTATCACAGATCAAGGTAAAGGGTTAATCACAGTGGTCCTTTACCATATGATCAGCTGTGTTCAACCACAGATAATCACATGGAAACAAATGGTGGTCATCGGCATTTCGTTTCCTCAAGCACTGTTACTGTGAGAGGAAGGGAAACCCAACAACTGGCAATCCTCGGACGGCACACATTTACACTGATAATCGGGGTACTGATCATCAGAGCCCTGATTATCAGTGCAGCCCCATCAGTTCCAATCAATGCGCCTTATTAGTGCCCATCAGTGCAGCTTATCAGTGCCCATCAATGCAGCATATCAGTGCCCATCAGTGCCTCCTTATCAGTGCCTATCAGTGCAGCTTATCAGTGCTGCCTCATCAATGCCCATCAGTGCAGCCTCATCATTGTCCATCAGTGCCAGCCTCGTCAGCACACATCAGTGAAAAAGAAAAGTTACTTATGTGCAAAACTTTAAAACAGAGACAAAAAAAATTTTTTCTCTTTCAAAAATATCAGTCTATTTTTGTTTGTTCAGCAAAAATTTAAAAACCCAGTGGTGCTTAAATACCATCCTATATGCCTCACAAAATGTTAAAAATGTAATATGGGTACAGTGTTGCATGACGGCACAATTGTCATTCAAAGTGTGACAGTGCTGAAAGCTAAAAATTGGTTTGGGCAGGAATTCTAAAGTGTGCTTAATATTTGTATTCAGCAGTTTGCCTAAAGTTCAGTTTTTAAACAGCATGTTATGATTTTCTGGTGCACATCATTTATAGTCTATCCACAGTATAAACAAGATAGGGGCTGTAGTACCCCCTTAACCCTAAAGGGCAGATAGAGCATCCCAAACCTTATGGCAGACTTTTTAGCTCTTTGTGGGGTAAAAGAAATTGAGTTTATTAAGCACGGTAAACTCAAGCAGATGAAGTTGGGGGAGGGAAAGTCTAAAAAAATAGCAAAAATTCAACCCTAGCAAAAGTCAATACAGGCTATGAACCTTTAAGCCAAGGCAATACTGTTTAGACTGTTGAGCAGCTTCAAACAGTACAATGCTTTCTGGAACAAGTAGACAGGACTCCCTTGCAATGTGGACTGGCAGCAACTTGTACTTAGCTCATCACTTCTTCTTCTCCTCCAGATGCTCCAGTATGGGAAATCAAACTCTTCCAGGCCTCAGACCCAGGCCTTTCTTCTTATTTCAGGACCTCATCTAAAGGATATTTCTCTAGCCACTTCTTTTCAAGTGGCCTCCTATGCCCTAACCAAGGTTTGCTTATGGCTGAACAGTATACACTCCAGTATTGAAATATTGCGGCTGAACTTACCTTTAATAATGACCTTCTGGCAGAGTATGTCTAAGTGAATAAAGATAAACTATTAGGATGTGAAATTGCTACAACTCTTGGTGCCCTGGTCACCCTGGCAGTACAAGTAGACATTCACTTTCAAGACTGCTCCCGAAGGTCAGCTCCTTTGTCATTCTGCTACAAGCCATTTCTACATGCATCCCCAGTTCCAAATACACTCTCCAGTGTTGGATTAGCCCTCCTCCCAGTTACTCACCTGGAAATCCTTCATTCCGTGTGCCTCATCAGGGTCTAGCCACCAAAGCAGCACCCTTTGGCTATTTCAGAGGTTACTTCTTGTATTCCAGCTAATTATATAGATTACCAAGATGTATTCTCCATACTCAATGCTGATCAGTTACCACCACATCATCCCTATGTCCCAGTCATAAGACTCATGCACATTTGCATGTCATGCATGCAGGAATGTGCATACCACAGCATGTACATGAATGTCCACCACAGATACTGGCACCAGAAATAATTAATTCTGTATAGAAACATTGCTGAATGGTCTTTCAATCTGAGTTCTGCAATACTTGATCCTGAACCTTATGCCCTGGCCTGGCCATAATCCTGGCCCCATGGTCCACTATTGCCCGGGGGCCCCATGAGTTGTCAGTCCGCCCCTGTACCTAACCCATTTCAAATTCACCTCATGCTTCTGAAAAGGCCTCTGTAAGCCTTTAGATATCTCTTTGAGGTTTTCCTTAGCCTATCAGCCACATACTAATGCAAAAAATAAAGGGAACAGTCTTTGGAGCAGTACTTTTGTGCCCTATTTTTCTACTGATCGTAATGGTTCGGTTGCCCTTCAGCCTTGGATACAATTTTCTCACAATAACTATCTTTTTCATTGACTACGGCAAGCATCCACAGCTTTTTTTGCCTTGCACCACAGAGGTCACTCCATTCTGTGCCATGTAGAATGATTTTTTTTCCTCACAACTTTTCGATATTTCTACGTTTCTGTGTTTAAGTTTCATTATATAAATGGGATTCCAACAACAATGTACTATATCAAAAGATAGCCTTCATAAATAATCTGATTTCTGATTTTTTTTCCCCGTAGCATTTAGTGTGGTATTAACAAAATTGACTCCGATAGTCATATACACCATATTGCCAAAAGTATTGGAACACCCCCCCAAATCATTGGATTCAGGTGTTCCAATCACCTCCATGGCCACAGGTGTATAAAATCAAGCACCTAGGCATGCAGACTGCATCTAAAAACATTTGTGAAAGAATGGGTTGCTCTCAGGAGCTCAATGAATTCAAGCGTGGTACCGTGATAGGTTACCTGTGCAATAAGTCCATCCGTAATATTTCCTTGCAACTAAATATTCCACGGTCAACTGTTAGTGGTATTATAACAAAGTGGAAGCAACTGATAACAACAGCAACTTATCCATGAAGTGGTAGGCCACGTAAAATGACAGAGCGGAGTCAGGGCATGCTGAAGCTCACAGTGCACAGAAGTCGCCAACTGTCTGCAGAGTCAACAGCTAAAGACCTCCAATCTTCATGTGGCCTTCAGATTAGCACAACAACAGTGAGTAGAGAGCTTTATGGGTTGGAATGGGTTTCCATGGCCCAGCAGCTGCATCCAAGCCGTATATCACCAAGTGCAATGTAATGCGTCAGATGCAGTGGTGTAAAGCATGCCGCCACTGGACTCTAGAGCAGTGAAGATGTGTTCTCTGGAGTGATGAATCACGCTTCTCTGTCTGGCAGTCCAATGGATGTGTCTGGGTTTGGCGGTTGCTAGGAGAACAGTATTTGCCTGACGGCACTGTGCCAAGTGTAAAGTTTGGTGGAGGGGGGATTATGGTGTGGGGTTGCTTGCCCCTTAGTTCCAGTGAAGGGAACTCTTAAGGCATCAGTATACCAAGACATTTTGGACAATTCCATGCTCCCAACTTTGTGGGAAAAGTTTGGAGATAGCCCTTTCCTGTTCCAACATGACTGTGCATAAAGACATGGATGAGCAAGTTTGGGGTGGAGGAACTTGACTGGCATGCACAGAGCCCTGACCTCAACCCAATAGAACACCTCTGGGATGAATTAGAGTGGAGACTGAGACAGGCCTTCTCATCCGACATCAGTACCTGAACTCACAAATGTGCTTCTAGAAGAATGGTCAAACATTCCCATAGACACATTCCTAAACCTTGTGGACAGCCTTCCCAGAAGAGCTGAAGCTGGTATAGCAGCAAAGGGTGGGCCAACTCAATATTGAACCCTGCGGACTAAGACTGGGATGCCATTAAAGTTCATGTGTGTGTAAAGGCAGACGCCCCAATACTTTTGGCAGCATAGTGTAGCAGCACTCCCTACCCCAAGAATGATTCATAAAAATGCTGCCAATCTTTTCCCAATTGTTCTAAATAAGCAAAGTCTCTTCCAGATTCAGTGGCCAAATCTCTCAGTAGAGGGGAGCAATCCACACCCTACTTGCAGTGTCCTCCTCACCAGCTAGTCAGACAGCCACTTTGCACTCCAGACTCAAATCTGGATTCTAGGAACAAACTCTGCTGGTGATTGCTTCTTTTATCCAAGCCTCACTCTCAGTGCTGGTGGTGAACACGGACAAAGCTCTATACACTTCTCCAGAGGGTTCCGCCACTATTGTTAATAAAGGATAAGGAAACAAACCACTTCTTGTGAAGCAAATATAAACAACTTTATTATTAAAATATTATTGCACTTACATGAATCAGGGTATGTCAAGGAAATTAAGTGACAATACCTGATGGTATGTTGCTAGAGGCTGGCTACCATCTGCAGTAGCCAAAAGGTTGGTTGTCTGAATCCCTGAGACCCAATGTATTTTAAAGGGGGTTCTTCTCCAAAAGAAAGAAGGGGGGGCTCTAACAATCACTCATTTTTCATTAGAAAGGAGGGGGGGGCACCAAACAATCACTACCTTAAAAAATTTTTAAAATGTGATCTAGGGTGCTCAGGCATTTTTTGTTATAGAGAATAGACTGTGGTAAAAAAAAAACTGCCCTCCTTTCCCCTGAACAGTTAGGAATGATTACTTCCCTCATTACTAATGATGAAGTAGCATCTGTGGTAAAATTGTTTAAACCTATAAAGGCCCCTGAGCCTTCACACAGATATTATGTGCACATTTCTTCATGTTTTATACCACATCTAACTTGTTTTAACCTATTTCTGATCAGATTCCTTTGATGGCTAATTGTCCATGCTAAATTTAGCAGTTTGCTTGCGTCAGTTAACTTGACAATAAGACTATGACTAATTTGTCCACCCAAATATTTTTTAGGACAAAAGACCTTTATTTGATACACTTTTTAATAAAAATATTTTATAAAAAGACTGCAAAATGCACAAAAATGTTCCATTAAATTAATGATGTTTTACAAATAATCATAGTATTGCTGTCACAGAACTGTGTCGGTTTTCTAAAAAGAGAACATAATACTGACTGTTAACTTTCAGACTGATTCTCTCTAATTGTCTGTAAAGAGCTATATAGAGCAGAGAGAGAGAGAAGGTGGGTTGAGGATATTGAGTAACTTTTTTTTAATCTTTTTTTACTTTTTCAAACTTTATACATAGTAAGAATTTTAGTAAACATTTGGAGATTCATACCTTTGAGTTCTAAAAAAAATGCTGTTTCACCACGTCTTTTCTAAAACTAAATTCTGAATGGAATGATTTGCCTTCATTATAATCATCTAAGCAAATCACCGTGCTGGGAACAGTAAGGACTTTTGATTGCTCAACCAAAAAAATTGCAGAACCACAAAATTATTTATAGCAGAACTCCAATCAAAAAAACCCTGAAAAACTGAAAAAAAATGTATAGTCGGTTAAAAAAAAATTAATAGCAAAACTAGCTATTGCTTCAATATTCACTTTCAATCTATAAATTCCCCCATGGTACTTTTTCCTGCCACTAGTTATTCTCTGCTTTATGAATGGCATCAATCAACCTATTTCCCTTGAGCACAGGTTGTCCTAGACTGCCCCCAGCCTGTGACTGGAAAGTGAAAGGAGAAGCAGCACAGTGATAAGCTAATCCTCTGTCACTCTTCCCTATACAATTAACATACAACCAGTGTCTGAATAAATAAAAAATAAAAATCAAAGCTCAAACAATTGTGCAGTCTATAGTGAAGTTGTGCAATACTCTTCCAAAACAATAAGTGCCAAAATCACTGTGCAGTGCTCCCAACCTTTGTACCCACAGTAAACGACAGTTGTGGACTCTTACATAAATTGTAGAGAGTTGATTGTGCCTGTGTTATAGATCTCTTGGGATTGCTGGATCTTGTATTGTCCTTGGTCAATTGCTCCTCCAATGCATCGCCAGGAAGCAGAAGGCTGGTATATTCTCACCTGAAAGAAAGAATGGCAAGAGGGGGCCCACATAGCGTAATTCTGTTTTTTATTGTATAAACATTAAAATTGGTTGCATTTACATGAAAGGTACTTAAAAAGCATTAAGAATGCCAGACCGGAAGTTACACACACAAGTGTTTCCACCTGCTGGATGTGACGTCACATCTGCTCTCCACTAACACGTTTCACTCCTCCTGCAGGGCATCTTCAGAGGGGTGCAACACGTTAGCTGGAGACTAGCTGTGACATCACATCCAGCCGGTGGAACACACATCGGTGCATGACTTCAGGTCCAGAACTTTAATTTTCATTATTGACTGTTCTTTGGTATAAAAGGGTCAAACCCTTTCTTAACAGCTGCTTACTATACACAGATTTTGTGGATGATTGTATTATAATAGTGGTTTCAGACAACATTTTTATATTTTATATTTTTTTCAAAATTCCTATGGTATAATTTGTATTTGGTGATATATAAAAAAAAATTTTCGGGTTTCACAGTCCTAGCATGGGTAGTTTTTGTATTTATATATCACATTCACTAAATATTCACTGTAGGTATACTTTCCTGGTGCATTTGCTTTCATTATCAGGGAATAACTAACCACCTGCAAATGTGTAGTGAATATTACATTTACTGCTTTATAAATATACCCTTAAGAATTTATAGAAATGCCTTTGTGTCTAGGCATCGAACAAGCATATACACAATCTTAAATGCATACACTTTAAATACACTTTAAAAGAAGCCATCACTAACCTCTGTAGCTCCTGTGAAGCAATACATCACAGCAGAAGCCCTGCAAAGTCCTTCTTTCAGCAGCACAGCTACTCCTGTTCCCTCCTCCCAGCAGTGACTCGATTGGGAGCTCTGGTATGCAATAGCAGGGTGAGCTGAGCTGCATAGAGAACAATTTGAATAATAGTATTGCTTATAAGTGCATACTGGGGATGAATATAAGTGAACTTTGATGATGAATTGCTTCACAGTGCCTGTAGCTACAGACGGGGCAGGCACCAGCATAAGGCAGTTTAGTCAGCCACCTTAGAGTGCCTAGATAGGGCACTTGCTGGAGATTCAGATATTTAACTGTGAGGTAGATTTTTTTTTTTAACACTACCGGCCGCAATACTGCCAGCAGTGTGTGTACTTTAGTACTTTAATGACAGTGTGTGTGTTATTTCCACATTGAAAGCTGAAATGACACAAGCAGCTGTGAAGCTATTGAACACTTCTAAAACCGCTGCAATGTGTGGCCCCATCCACTATGCTTACTGGGCTCTGCTGTCCCCGCTGCAGGCCCAGTGCAGTCATGGTGGGTGTCAGAGGAAAGGGAGGCATCCATCCACTGAGCCTCCTTCCTGCACACAGACCAAGAAGTGAAGTGTATGATGCCAATTCCTGGTCTGGCTGTGATTTTACGGGATCAGTGCCTGGGGAAGAAGTTGCTGGATTTGTGTTCAATCAGCTGCAGTGGAGTACAGGGAAGACATCCAGGATCTAATAGACCCCAGATGTCTCATAAAGAGAACCTGACACCTGTATACTATCATATCATCCCCTATGTGATAGCAATAAATGTTATGTACAAATAAAGTTTTAAACTTCTAAAGATACTCATAAAATTTTTTAAAAAGCAAACATTTTTTAGAGCCCAGACACACCCACAAAAGCACACACGTTGGGGCATCTATGTAAGAAAACACAATTACCCTACACGTTATATATCACCATGCTTGTCAGAGTAAGAACAGGGGCGGACTGACCATTTGGAAACTCGGGCACTGCCCGAGGGCCCGGGGTCAGTAGGGGGCCCCATGAGATGCCCCTGGTACCTTTTTCATAGGCTTTTTTGAGTTTGGGCAAGGACACAGGGGCCCCATGATCCCCTAATGCCCGGGGGCCCCATGAGTTGTCAGTCCGCCCCTGAGGGATAGCAATCATTTTAGCACCAGAGCTCCTGTGCAACTCTAAACTGATGAGCTGTAGGGGCTTTTAAATTGTTGCCTATGAAAAATCATAGGGTACTGAAGCTTTTCACCATTTAACGGGTGCACTCAATTTTAAAGTTTGACATGTTGGGTATCTGTTTACTAGGCACAACTTCATCTTTTATAGTTTATCAAAAATTGGGCAGTAAATGGCATTTATGTGGCCAAAAATTAACTTTAGTGTATTTTTTGTGTTTTATAAACCGTTGCACTAATATCATGTAAAAAATTGGAACTAACAATGTTTTGTTCTCTAGGGTGTCTACTTTCAAAACATATATAATGTTTTGGGGGTTTTAGGTAATCTTCAGGCCTAAA